ATCTTCTTTAAAATACTTTCTTATTTTCAATTAGAGATGTTAATCAGTCCCGAACAGTCTGGTTCAGTCCTGGGACTAGCAGTCCCATCTTGGGACCGGACTGGACTTAAAGTCCTAGAAAAAATCCCAAAAAGCCCTCATCCTTTTTTCAAACAGTATATTTATTATATATTTTTATTATATATTTTTAATTTTATTTATATATTTTATATATATTATTATAAATGTTTGTAAATGTAAAAAAATTATATTAAAAAAAAATATATTATTATAAATGTTGTTTGTAAATATAAAAAAAAAATATATTAAAAAATTTTAAAATATATTTAACATATTTTATATTTGCTTCAATCCAACTTTTAAGGCATAAACTTGTTCATGCCTTTTCAGGATCCAATCTATTATGAACTGGACTTAGTGTGTGTTTAGCTATGCTAAAAGCTGACTCACTTAACACATTAGTTGATTGTATTGAAAAAAAATCATGAGCCATATGTGACAAAACAGTATAATTAGGATCTTTAAATCTTGTAGAATACCAATCCAGGCAATTTTACTTCTTCTGGCATTTCTAAATATTTTTTGATAAATTCATTGTTTGAAGTTGATTGATTATAATGATTTTGAAATGATCTTTTAAAATAACTACATGTTGATGTTGAATTAATTGATGTGACTTCTAAAGATAAATTATATTTTTCTGAATACAATATATCATCAATATTTTCATCATTGCCATCAATAAAAACAAAAGGTTGTGATTGTTGTTGTGCTTCAATTTGGTTTGTAAAGATCAAATTCACTTCAAAGCTATTTTCAAATTGATGATGACATTTTGAAAAAATTTATGTATCATGTGAAATTTTTTTTTTAAATATTTATGTTACACATGGACTTATAGGGACTTAAGTCCCAAAGGACTGATTAACATCCCTATTTTCAATAAAGGTCATTTTTTGGGTTCTTTAACTTCAATTTGAGCAACTTGTTGAGAAGTTAATTGTTCTAACTGAACTTTTAATCTTTGAATTTCTTCTTTGTAGTTGCCATTCTCTGTTTCTAATTGCTTAATTCTATCCAAAAGTTCTTGTTTCTGTTTTTTACTCCATTCCTCTGACTTTTCTTGAAATTTGGTTACTTCTTCCCTTTCAATTTCCAATGTTTCTTCAGTCTCATTTAGTTGTTCTTGTAGGGAATTTATTTGTCTTTCATAAAAAGCAGACTGACTTATTTCTTCATCAGGTAAGTCTTCATTGTTTCTAATGCAGTAGCAAACATTCTTACCACCAACAATGTCAAAATCTCACTTAGTTTGCAATCTACTGCACCTATTTCACTTTAACAATTTGCCATTCCAATACTTTTCTTCACACCTTTCACAAACCATGTCATCTAAATTCATTCCCCAGTTACTTTTCCATGGACTCTTATTTGATGAACAGATTTGTTATTTTTGTTTTCAAATTTAGAGCAAAAATCACAAGTTTTTTTACTTTCTTTTTCTAATTGAAGACAACTTGTTTTCTCCTTTTATAGGTAAAGAAGGTAAAGGTTTATTGTTTCAATAAAGTAAACTTTCATTTTGTGATTCACCATCAGTTAATTGCTTGCATAGTTTTTCTATTTTTTTGTTCTTTTGACTTGATTCTTCCTCTAACTTCTCAACTTGGGCTTCTAGATAAGAAATCTTTTCACTAGCATTTTTGAGTTTCTTGTTTTTTTTTTTCTTTTATATCTTCTGCTTGATTTTTACTTCATTTTTCACCAAATATTAAGACTTGCTTAATTTCTTCTTGTTCTGTTGCACATCATCTTCCAATTCCTCTATCCTTGATTCTAAATCCTTGATTCTTTCAACTTTACTTTCAATGATGTCTTTAAACAACAGAAGACTATAAACATGCTAATCTAGTATGGGAAAAATTTGGATGCAAAACATTTGGAGATTATCATGATATTTACCTTAAAGCTGATGTAATGCAACTTTGTGATGTATTTGAGGCATTCCAGGATACAGCAATGGAATATTATGAACTGGATCCTGTATATTACATATCAACAGCTCATATTCCTGAGATGCAATGTTAAAATTTACCAGCATTGAACTTGAGCTATTTACAGATGCACTTGTGCATGATGTTACAGAAAGTCAGAAGTGTGGGGGAGTATCCATGGTATCCAAAAGATATGGAAAAGCTAACAATCCAAATGTCAAGGATATGATCCATCAAACCCGACTAAATATTTAATGTATGTAGATGCAAACAACTTATATGGATGGGCAATGAGTCAATTCCTTCCATATGGTGGTTTCAAGTGGATTAGACCAAGTGAAGCTCCAGATCTTATGTCTATTCCAGAAAACTCTCCAAAGGGTTATACATATGTAGTAGATTTAAAATATCCTAAACATTTACATAACCTTCATAATGACTATCCTCTTGCTCCAGAAAATATTGAAGTAAGAAGGGATATATGCTTTCAGAACATCAAGAAGAGTTAGTAAAGGATAAATATCGGAAATGGAAATTTTGTAAAAGGAAAGAAATTATGTCCAAATCTTATGGATAAGAAAGAGTATGCTGTACATTATAAAACTCTCCAATACTATGTAAAAATGGGTATGGAAATAACAAAGATCCATATGATCCTAGAATTCGACCAATCACCATGGCTATCTCCATTCATAAACTTTAACACTGAAATGAGAAAAAAAGCCAAAAACGAATTTGAAAAGGACTTCTTCAAACTAATGAATAATTTGATATATGGTAAAACTATGGAAAATCTCCAAAACTATAACAACATAAAGCTAATAAAGCTCAAGGATGATTGGCAATCAGAACAAGCTGTAATTAAGAATATAGGAAAACCCAGATGCAAAGATTTTCATGTATTTAATGATAACCTATGTGTAGTACATATGGGAAAAGAATATGTATACTCAATAAACCAATATACAGTCCCCGGCGAAAGTAATGTCGGTACAATGAAACATTATTTTTGCTGAGTTTTTATTAAGTAAATCGATCTTTTTATATTAAATAAAGTTGTTCACAATGAAAAATTCTACATATCCTAAAATT